GTTTATGCTATCATAGCACTTGTTACTTAACACACTTTAGTTTATATTAATTAAGCGGCATTTTGCCATTATAGCATCCAATTTTGCTTTCCTTAATTTAATTTTAGATATCATTATGCAAACTGAATTTTTTTAAGTTTATAGAATACAGCGGGGTAATTTGAATAGTGGGGTAATTTGGATAACAGTAAGTATTTACAAGAATTTTAGAAAAATAAGAAATTTTAAGATACATTTCATTAGAACAATGTCTAATCTAATAAAATGTATCTTAAAATCTCTTATTTTTCCGAAATTCTTGCAAATGCTTACTGTTATTCAAATTACCCTGCTGTACCCTATAAACTTAAAAAAATTAAGTTTGCATAATAATATCTAAAATTAAATTATGGAAAGCAAAATTAGATGCTATAATGGTAAAATGCCGCTTAATTAATATAAACTAAAGTGTGTTAAGTAATAAGCTTCGATAGCATAAACGTCAAAGCTGCAAAATAAAAGGCAACTTGCATATCATTAAGGATAATGAAATGTATACAAAGATGGGAGTAAAATTTAAATTTCAGAAAAATAAGAGGTTTTAAGATACATTTCATTAGATCAATGTCTGATCTAATAAAATATATCTTAAAATCTCTTATTTTTCCGAAATTCTTGCAAATGCTTACTGTTATCCAGATTACCCCACTATTCAAATTACCCCACTTTACCTTCATTAAAAATGTAAAAATTTTCACAGTTTATACTTGGATTTTTCACCATTAATTAATATTAAAACTACTAATTGTTGCAATTAAGTATTTATATTATCTCGAATGGACAGAAATTATCTGGATAGCTGTTTATTAACAAGAATATCTGCTTACGTGAATGTAATAGAATTACTTCGCAAAATTAATAGCGCAAGCATACAGTTGTATTGATTTATGTGTGCCAATAAGCACGTATGATAGTTGTAATTGTATAATCAAGATGACATGTACATTTTCTAGTAAGCAATATTATTTTGTCCGAAAAATTTTTTTTTAAACAAGTTTGTGTATACACGTGTACAGATATTTTATAAAAATTGTAAAAAGTTATAAAAGGTTCTTTATCAACATTAATTTTTAAAAATATATATTTTAGCGCCTTTGAATTTTTTATCCTCTCAAACTGAAAAAAAACTGATTTTGTTGAAATAAAATAAAGCTTTGAGACACAATTTTTAACGACTCTCTTTTAACAGGCGGTAAAGAATCTATCTCGATTACGTCGCTTGTTTCCGTGAAATAATGTTCGATTGAATTGAAATCGTCACGTACACACGGACGAGATTCGTTAGCGAAAACGTCGCTAACAAACCACGGCGCTTGGATAGGGAACAATGAAAATTTTAACGAAAATGTGTGACTTTATTATCCGTTCGTACGCGAAAACTCGGCGAACTGACGATATAGAGATGTTGAAGATAGAACGGTTTTATACTCTCACCGTAATACTTTTCTCGCCTTTAACGCTTTTCAGAGGCGCGTCACGTGAATATTAAAAACATAAGTATATTCTGACATTTTTATACTTTTCTAAATAATTGTAATTATTAAAATTCTGTAATACATTTATTAATTATAGTTTATTGATAAAACAAATTTCATTGAATTTAAAAAATTTAATAGATAATAATTTAAAATTTAATATATTATAAAAAGCATATAAATTTTTATTAAAACATTTTTATGAACTTATTAAAACTATATAAAAAAATTTTTATAAACTTATTAAAACATAATCATAGAATTAAAGGTAAATTGCCAATATTTAACAAATATAAGCAATATTTAATAAATGCCTTTATTTAAAAACATATTGTTATTTTTAATCTGTATTAAGCTTGCATCACTTAATAATTAAATAAAATAAAATCTTAATAATTAAATAAAAACGAAAGAAATGTACAAACATCAGAGAGAGAGAGAGAGAGAGAGAGAGAGAGAGAGAGAGAGAGAGAGAGAGTTCCGTTATTAGAGAATTATAATTAAACAGAAAATAATATATTCTAGTTTATATTAATAAATGGTAAAGATAAGTATAATATAAAATAATAAGTAAGTAAAAGTATATAAAATAAAGACGATTTATTAATTGTGTAACTGCTAATTTGTTACATATTTATAAATTTTTCACAAATGGCAAAAGTTACAAGTCAATTTGATCATGCATAAAACATGTTTGCAATAGAATAGGCTGTGTATTTACGATACTATATACTACTTGGTTAGTACACTATAGTGAAATATATGAAATAGCATCGATCCATTTGTTGTTAATTAACGTGCGATGGGGCACGCTCGACTGTCACGACACGTCGAACGGAAGCACGATGATGCGATGGCGCAAGCGGATAAAGGAAGGGAGGAAAAATGAACGAGGTGCACAAATATATACATCGATATAGATATAGAAACGGGGCCGCATGCATAATGCATATCGGGCCGTTTATAAACGCCGGCCGGTTTATACTAGGCGATGGTTTCCTCGCAATCGGGTTCAATCTCTTCCTTTCCTTGCGCCATTACATCAATTCCGTTACGATCGAAGAATGATCGAGGAGGTGCCGTTTCATCTTGCTTCGAGTGGTCAGACTAATTGTGCATTCATTTCGTTACGGCGAGAGGTTGCCGAATGAAAAATTGCGATGAAGGGACGGATGCTCCTCGTCGAGTAACATAAATCTTATGTGTTTAGGGCGAAAATCGACGTCGGATTAAGAAGCAAGTTCGTTACGCTAATTGCGATTAACTTTTACAAATCTGTCAATGTGTAATCATGCGAATTAATTGATGTGATGAAGAGAAAAACGTACGTAAAAAAAAATTGAAAGTTTTTATTAGTGCAAAACAAAAATTAGTCAATATTAAAGAGGCAGTAAAATTGTTACTTACAAAATAAATATGATGAAAATTTATAACATAAAAAACATGTACGATAATCCGTCATTTTTAATTTTATTATAAATTTTACATTTGATTATTAAAAATATTCGACTCGCATACAAATTTACATATTTTGGTAAGCATTTCTAAAATAGTTCACTATTATATCTATGTTATAATTCGCTCTCAGATATTTATAGGCATTATGTAAATAAACATTTTGTTTTTAACTGTAAAAATTGCAAAAATTTATGTAAACAATTTATTTTTACATGGACCGACGGAAATCCGGCAATAACTCTTTCGCTATTTTGAAATATAATAAGCCCATATTGGGCTTATAATATATCTGGGTTAAATATATCTCTAATTGTAATATTTCTTGATATATTTTTTTAACTCATATAATTCATCATTATTTACTATTTTAAAAATTTAAGGGAATATTTTGTTTTGTAACCGACATGTGACTTTTTTAATTAAATAATTAATTTATACTTTTCTGCAAACTGTGTAAGAAAATGACAAGTATTTTGCAGAATTAAAATTAATATAATTAAAATTAGAATTAAATTTAAATTAAATTACATATTATCAATACATGTATTAAGTATGTGTACACACTGTAACGGTTTCAACGGAACGGGATAACGCAAGGAAGACGAGCAAATAATAGTTCATAAATTTAATTCGAATATTTCTAAATACATAACAATCATCCGATTCGTACACCTTCCATCGTTCGCGAGAGAGACAATGGGCTAAGCGCGTAAGAACATTCCCGAGAAGAGCGGTTGGTGAGCGTTACGATCAAATCTCGCGTCGAAACTTTGCGTTATACAGATTTCGTGAACACTGGGGATCTAATGAATCGCAAAATACTTAGCGGGGCTTGAGAGCGGAGAGTCAATCGGGAAACGATGTGTCGCTTTCCCTGGGTCGCCCTGATGGCGTCGATCTCCCTGCTCTGGCGTGCGTGACGGGTTTGATGTTGCATGGGACGACTCCGTGACCAGGGGCGCGCAAATTCCACCGTGATGTCCCGTAAGATCCCGTGATCTTGGCCTCTCTGAGTGGGGCCTGGTGAACCGGCCGGACTGGTCTCTCGATCTCCTCACAGCTATATCCGAGAGTCTTTCCCGAGAACTTTTTAGGCACAATCCGCCCTTGCCAAGAGTAGCTGACTTGTTTTGTTCTCTCTTTCGAGTTTCGAATTCTTCTGCCAATTCTCTCCTTCTTCCCTCTTTTCGCCGGCAATTTCGTCGTCATCCCCTCTCTTTACTCTCCCTCTCTTTCACCCTCCGTGTCTCATCCAATTCGCGACTATTCCTATGCTCAACCCATAATGTCTCCTATCGCCACAACACACACACACACACGTATATATGTATATATAATGTTTATTTATTACATGGCACAACTAAAAAACAAAGTTTTCCAGAAAATAAGTTTTGAATGTCTTGAATCAGTAAAATTTTTTATATAATATTATTTTAAAATGCAATATATAATATAACTAAATTTTCAAAAAATAAAATTGTACTCTTTTAAAGTTTTTTCTTTTTTTGTTTTTGTTTTTTTTTACAAGCAATTAAAAATGATTATTTTTTAATTATATTGTATTATGTTATAGGAAATGAGCGATATATCAAAAAATGAAGAGAGACGTATGTTATATCTTTCAAAAATTATAGCTTTCAAACAATTTCTAAATATATTTGTATTCAGATAATACTAAAGGTTTTAAAATTGATCATTTTGCAATTATAAACAATGATAAAGAGAATTATCTCGAAACCGTTAATGGTTCAAATTATGGCTCGTGTATATACATATGCTCTCAAGTGAATGACTATAATAAACTTCCAATTCTCAATGGTTTGCAATTTAAATGCAGGCGACATCGTCTGCAGTGCGACGCGACTAGAAAGCGTGAATTTACGTTAGCTGCAACACAGCAGCATACAGTTACAAATGACGTAGATTTATGTCGGACGCTTGTATAAAGTGACTACAACCATCCCAACATCTGTTTTCGTGACCATCGTTGATTAATCGTAGAGCAATCCGACGAATTTTCCGTTTCAGCGTATGCGGGATCCAGCACTTCCAGAGAGCGGGGCACAGGCATTTGAATCTATTTCAAAGTACGTACTACGTTGTGGTAACGTTCTCCACAGTGGGCTACGGGGATTTCGTGCCGGATATTTGGCCTTCGCAACTTTACATGGTCATTATGATCTGCGTGGCTCTCATAGTCTTACCAACACAGGTACGTATACAATAATCATAAAAATAAATAAACGGATAGACTTATAAGTTTCAGACATAATAAATAGATATATATATAAATTTTAATCATTTTATTTGTGTTTACAAGTAAAACAGATGAATTGATAGAAAACTGTGTATTATATTTAACTTACGGTGTTTCAATTTCTATTTATTCGGTCTGTATTTGATTTTCAATAAATAAAAAATATTAGTAAAATCTAACTAAAATTCTTTTGTCTATGATATATTAAATCTTATTTTATTGATTGATTTAAAAACGTAAAATACATCGTATATGGGGAAGAGTTGCCGAAATTGCCACTTAAGATATTTTTGGTTATATTTCATATTTGGTACTGTTTGGAATACAAATGAACGTTAAAAATTATAGCTTGATGTTTAAGGCATCTATTATTACATATTAAACCTTTCGCTAATAGCAAATTAATGTGTTGTTTCTGTAATGGTACTGCAGAAAACACGATTCAACAAACCGATCGCCTAAATCGTACCTGTGAGTTTTATTAATAGTATCTCCTTTTAAACTATTGAATTTATGAATGAAAATAATTAAAAACACAAGATTAATAAAAGAATCATGAATTAAAACCTACTTTATTTGTATAAATTTATCAAACAAAAGCTGTTTTGCTTGCGCAACTCGATGACGGTTTTTTCCTCTACAGACTTGCTACAGAACAGTTTCAATCGTGTTAAAATAAATAATGTTGATTATGTCATATGATCTAAAGATATAGATACATTAGTGTTCCTAAATTGTACCGGTACGATATAAGAACTCTTATGCTGGTTCGATTAGGTACGATTTAGGAAACTTGACAGAGATGATAAAAATATTGATATAATTTTTATAATAATTAAATGTATGTAAATATGTATACACGATGAACGTAAAATATTCTATAATGAATTTACTTTTAAGAAAAAATAACAGTTCAATTAAAAATTGCATGGTTACATTAATGATTAGTCAATCAGTTATATAAATTGATCAAAAATTTACGTCAATTGTATCTGATTTTTTAAATGTGATAGCACGCCCAAAACAAGATATAACCTGTTAATTTTTTGTCTATTTTACACATTTCTTATTTACTTTATATTTTTGTTACTGAATGTTACTTCTATTAAGTGGAACTATAAAATATTGAAGAAGTACGATTTATAAGACCGGTACGCATTTGGCAACTCTCCCCTAAATACGTGTGTGCAAGTGGGTCTGTGTGTATTGCCTATAATAATTTAAACTTTAAAAACTGTTTATAAACAATTCTTTATAATTGATTATATCAATAAAATATTGTTTTGCAAAAAAAAACATTGATATCTTAAAAAAATCGCATAAAGATGTAGTGTTGCTCTAAACTCGTATTCATCTCGTTTAATGCACGTCAGTTGCGGCCGTTACAGTGGTGCTCGCCTCATGGACTTCTTTTATAGACGTTATTTTCGAGTCACGCCGTAGGGAAGCCGTAAATGTACCGAAACAAGACTCGTCTTACCAACCATATTGCCGCACGGTTGACCCTCGTCGTTTTACGAATATTTATTATTCCGGTCGTTAGGAACATAACGCTTTTATTTTTCATGTGCAAGAAATGTGCGTCGAGCAAAAATCAAGTTTTATGCGCGCTTCTATGTTCATCGTAAAAAGAACATTGATTCCACAAAGAATATTCGATTCACAGATTATCAAGGTATGAAAATATAAAATGAGGCTTTCACGTTTAATTAATCTGTAATTAACTTTCTTCTAATTAAGATTAAAATTAATTATTTTAATGATATATAGAATTAGTTTACTTATTAAGAATTCAAGAATCTCTTTCTTTTGATTAGCATTTAATAAATATTACAATTATTATCAACATTAATTTTTATATTATTTAAAAAAATATATACATTTATAGAAACCATCCAGATAATACCAGATAGATCATATAATATATATTATAGTCAATATATGTTAATCAAGAAGATGAGAGAAATAGGGAATATAAATTAAAATCAAGCTTATTCCATCACTACTATTTTTAATACATATATTATTCGTCACTCTGTTTTGTCGACAGTACCAAATATTCGCGTTGTCTCTCTGCTCTAAAGAATCTAACAGGATTCGGGATTGGATCGCAAGAGAAAAGACAGAGTTATCGATCTGATAACAGCACGTGCTAACAAAGATTTGTGTATTCTCCAGGATGCGTTACCATGGTAACTTTTCTTTTGCAATTGATTATTGTAGTTATATCAAAGAAACTTTCTATTAACTTGAGCCTTTCACATTATTATATATATATCGGAAGTCTCGTTAACGATGTTATCCGCGAATTATTACTTTATATCACGATATCACGTGCGTTATATGAGAAAATGTGTTACTCTGGAAATACTTTCTATGTAACTCTACCGGGTGTCAAATAATTATTGATTTATAGCACTCGTGTGCAGATAGAGCCGACTAAATTGAGTAAGAAAATTTCCTGATTTCCTTCTTTTTGTGATTTTCACAATTATTAAGATAATAATTAATAAAAATCCGCGAATGTTCGTATGTTCGTGCGAAGAGACAGCTCAATTTTACACGTATTTTAGTTGCTAGAAGTGCGACGAAATGCTTGTGTGTGCTCTACAACATTGGCTACGCAGGAGCGGCGTGTAAATATTGTTGTGCCGTTCGTACAGCACACCTCCAAACATCTCGCCGCACTTCTAATCCGAAATGCATGCAAAGCTCTCTTCGCGCGTCAAAGGCACGCTTATTCGCAGATCTTCATTAATTAAGGCAATGCTGGAAGGTCAGAATTATCGACACATTGCAATCGTAACGATAACTTTGAAATTACTGAACGGAATTGAAATCGCTTTTACAGAATTGAAATAGACATAAAATGTAAGGGGGCAAACTACAAATTTGTAGTAAAAACGACAAAAAATTAAAAACTTACTTTTTTTCGAGTCGTACAGCTGTCAACGTAAACATTTTGTTATTTTTATTAGTATAAAAGTTCTGTAGCTCATATATACAAAATAAGTAGCTCGTCCCCTTCGGATTCAGATTACAGGAACGAATAATACAAAACTTTTTGAGCTACGATTGAAAAATATTGTAAGAAGTTCATTTAAAGATACCATTGGAATTGAACAGAATGTTTTATCGACCTCGCGCAAATTTTTCCAAACTTGCAGCATCGCATTAATATTTTATTATGAAAATCGCAAAATGGACACAAGACTTTTCTATTCAGTTTAGTTCCACTCTACCTGTGTACACAAACGCATTGTCAATTATTATCAAATGCCCTGTGGATTACAGATTTATTAGTAAAAGCAGTTTTTTTACGTAATAAAAGTAAAACAGTACTTAAAATCTTTAAAAATTTATAAAAATATATGACACGGAAATAGAGACAGAGAGAGGAAATATAGGTATATAAAACGATTGCAAAAAGTTGAATATTCGATCTTGATTTAACGATTAATCATTGAATGTACAACGAATGTTTAACGCTTAGTGAGAATTCAATCGACCAAAGAATATTATTAATTGCACAAAGTGACAAGAGCAACTCATGTCTACTCATTGTCTGTCGGCGTCGACTGATTGCGCAGCGCTCAACATGGAAAGCCTCGTCGATCGCTGTAATTTGTCTGTCAGATTGCCTGCCAATCGCACACGAGATATGTGCCAATTTGTATGGGTCAACACGATGTGTGTCAACTCCCCTCTCTTCCCTTCCCTTCGCCCCTTGTATTTCCGCATTCGATTAAATTCGATTTTGGACGATGGAGTCGTATCACTGCCAAGATAGCATAGACGTGTTAAAGTAATTCAACACCCGTACTTTTGCAGAAGAGATGCAGTTCCGTCCTTGAGTGACGAAGTTTGATGAGGGCAATTTAAAATTTGCATGTAAAAGTGCATAATAATGTAACGAACGATAATATGTACGCTACTGTAAGCTGCTTGTACGTTCAAGATATTAAAATAATCACAATGAATATCTTTACATTAATTTTGAACTTCATTAACTTTTACATACGACACAGATGTCACATTCCGTTCACTTATATATCAATTTATAAATGTAGTAATTTGAACGAATGTACGCGGCTGGAGAAGACTGTGGTCAAGTTGAAACTAGCAATTTATTATACATTTTAGTATGTAATTTGAACTATATTAATTAGTACAACACCCATATTTTTACTCGTTTTTAGCTTTCATATTATCTTTAGTTTATTTTGTCTCAACATTTGTTAAAGGAAAATTTTTAATGCGTTTATAAAAATATTTGCATATAAATATTTAAACAAAAATTTTTCATTCATAAAAATTTTAATAATAGTTTATTAATGCATACAAGATGAAATTAAATTTTTAATTTTATATGATATAAAGAATTTTTTTACAGAAAATATAGAATTTATATTACGTATTTACGTGTTATATGTTATATATTACGTATTTACGTGTTATATGTTATTTATTAAATTTATATGTAAGACACACATAAAATAAGATATAATTTTATATTTAAAAGACAAAAGAATTTCACGATTCGAAAAAAAATGATAAAAATAAAAAAAATTTTAATATTATTATTATAAATAGCTTCTGTAAACGTGCGATATTTAAATATCAATTGTATAATTTCATTTTTGTTAAAGTAAAATTTTTATTTGCTTATTTGATCTAATATTAATCTTACAAACTTGGATAGAATAACACAATTTCCTATTTTCAATTTATTGTGGTTTATGCAGACGGGTATATATTAATTGATTGCACAATCATTATCTCATGTTGATTACAGTTCGAACAGTTAGCTTTCACATGGATGGAACGACAGAAGCTGGGCGGCTCGTATTCGTCGCACAGAGCGCAAAGCGAGAAGCACGTGGTAGTTTGCAGTACGACACTGCAAGCCGACACCATTATGGACTTTCTAAATGAGTTTTACGCCCATCCCTTGTTGCAGGTTAGACGACGAACGAATTACGTGCCTTGAATATTTCATCATGCACTAGGCGACTTGTGATTTCGTAAAAATTCTTTATCAAGCTCTCAGTTTATCATAGTTAAAGTAGCCGAGGCGATTAAGTTTAAAACGTGTCATCAAGCTTAATTTTAATCACGCCGCGGTCGCGGGTACAATGCGATCTGTGAAAATTATTAATACATTGCTAAGATAAAAAATACAATTATTATAAAAATAGCAATTTTTATTTTAATGTTTTTATATAAAAAAATAATTACGATTGAAAATATACATAATTGAATATATCTCTTGCACGCTTATAAAGATCCGTGATATTGTAACGGTTTAAAAAAGTATGATGGAGAGCATTAGATAATTGCATTGTATATTTTTCTGCTCGCTACTTGTTTTTTTATTTATTTTATTACTTTTCACTTTTTATTTTATTATTCACTTTTATATTTCACTTTTTATTTTATTATTTTTCATTTTTTAATTATTAAAAATAACCTGAATATGAGTATAGGATTATTATGTGGTGCTTTTATCACCGATGGAACTCGATACTACAATGCGGATGATTCTGCAAGTGCCGATCTGGGCGCAGAGAGTGATCTATATACAAGGCTCGTGCCTGAAAGATGGTGATCTCGCGAGGGCCAGGATGAACGAGGCGGAAGCTTGTTTCGTGCTAGCAGCGAGAAATTATGCCGATAAAACCGCTGCTGATGAACACACGATACTCAGGTCAGTGATCAATGAAAACTATTGAGTATAAACTTCCTATAACGGAAGCTTATAATCGCCGTTGTAAATTCAATCTTCCCCTCACTTTTCTCTTCCCGTGATAAAATTTCATGGGGATTGTTTAACATCGTCGTTAAACATTGCAATTCTAATGTTATTCCCGACGCTCTATCTCGTGAATATCCGACATTTTTTCATTTAAGTTTTACATCGGAGTTTTTTAAATAGAAGTTAAGCTTCCCTGTTGACCTTAATCACTTAACTTCCTTTACTTTTAAATTCAGTTGTAAAGCGCAGTTGACTTGTAAGCGGGTACTCTAAGACATCGGTTTTCTGTTCAATGATTCTAATTCAATCCCGGATTGGAAAGGATTCGTAGCTAAAATAAGATAGAAGAAATCTGAAATATATAGATAGTAAAATGTTTATTCAAGGAATAGCAAACCAATGCTATATGATAAAAATTGTTTATGTATAATTAAATATAGGAATTAAAAGTATATACAATATGTTTTTTTAAATTTTTCTCCATATTTAGAAAGCACAGAATCTTAATTAATCTTAAATAAATTTAATCTAAATAAATCTTTATTTGGAATAAATTTATTTATATCCTTATCCTACTCGGGATTTTCAAGCGAAATTGCGTTTGAATCTCAAAGAAAATTGAATTTGGCAATTGTAGATCATGGGCGGTAAAAGATTTCGCGCCCAACGTTCCTCAATATGTTCAAATCTTCCGTCCGGAAAACAAGTTGCACGTGAAGTTCGCGGAGCATGTGGTGTGTGAGGATGAATTTAAATACGCCCTTTTGGCAAACAATTGCACGTGTCCCGGCGCATCGACGTTGGTTACCCTGTTGCTGCACACATCCAGAGGACAGTAAGTGCTGTCTAAAATGTATCGTAGACTGGCGTGGAGCATAATTAGACTACAAATTTAAACGTACAGTAGCCACGTGCGCGTTTCTTAATAGTCACGTGATCTGTTTCTGCACTTCAGTATTTATTTAATCTTTAGATATATAATATGAAGATTAATTTTAATTTTTATTCAATAAAATGTATATTTTACCAAAGTACAAACACGTGGGATTATACAATTTTTTATTAAATTTTGAAACGCCAAAATAACACGAGATAAAATGTACTATTTTATACTATTATTTACTTTGTCTAATTATATGTTGTAAACGTATGTTATACATCGTATAACTATTGCGTGAAAACGAGGAGGAAAATTGTGAACTGAAATTCTTTCTCGTCACACAGAGAAGGTCAACAGTCGCAGGAAGAATGGCACAGACTATATGGTAAATGTTCCGGCAACGAGATTTATCACATAATTCTTGGCGACTCCCGCTTTTTCGGGGAGTACGAGGGAAAATCCTTCACCTACGCGTCCTTCCACAGTCACCGGAAATACGGGGTTGCGCTTGTCGCAGTCAGACCGGCGGAACTTCCGGAATTTTACGAGGACACTATACTGTTGAATCCCGGTAATCTCGCGACACACATTACCGGTGTCTTTTAGATTCTTTTTCTTGAATACTTTTTCAGCTCTTTTACTTCTTGAATGAAATGAAAAATAAATAAGGAGAGATTTTAAATATATAACAAGAGATATTGAAAATTAGATCTTGTATTTTACTTTAATTGAAATTTAAATTTATATTATACGATATTATTTCATACAATTTTGCATCAACCTGTTGCATTACATGATACATCGACAATCTTCCTATAAAAATTATTTCTGTTATTTTGATTAAATATATAGTAGCCTAAAAAATGATTAATTATCGGGAAAAATTATGAATATTATAATAATTAGAAATAAAATGAAATAAAATGGTTGAAAATTTAATTAGTTCTTTATATGTAAATATGGAATGACTGCCACATTCGTGTGTGCCAATCGTGTACTTCTGTACGCAGGGCCACGACATATAATGAAGAAGACCGACACTTGCTACTACATGAGCATCACCAAGGAGGAGAATTCCGCGTTCGTGGTCGCGAATAATCAGGGTATTGGCGAGGGAACGCAGGTGATCGTCGAGACAAAGACGGACGCGGCGTCTGCGAATAACGGGTCGGCAACGAGCACCCCGACGACCAATGCTATAACGGCGACCATGAATTCTACAGGGGCAACGTCGGCGACGACGACGACGACGACCACCACCACGACGATATCGACCAGCTGCACCGGTGGCGGCGACGGGAACGGTACAGCAATCAGCAACGGTGCCGACGCGCACCAACGATTTTCCAACAGTTGTAACGTTACGCTGAGCGAAACACCCCGCAGACAGGAGACCTGCACGGGGCCCCGTGCGCAGGACCGATCAAACGGTCCTCAAGATCACAGGGCCCCGTTACCACCGCAGGTTATTTTGCAGGTCCTCCCTAGCACGCCCATACCAACCCAACACTACAACTTACTCGCATCCAATGTCCACCGTGAGTGTCGCATGCGCCTCGCTAAAGCTTCTTTCTTTTTTTCTTCTCTTTCAATTTTTCACTTTTATCTCTCTTGTTTTGCTTCAGAAAGTATAATTATTATTAGTCCATCAAACCGCGCGATCGTTCAAGATATTCAGACTTTGGAAAAATTGTTAATATGTGTAGAATAGTATATAGATATTAATCTAAATGATCAATTATTAGATTGGACTTGTTAAAAATTTGACTTTAGGAAAAAATTGTAATATAAGTATTATGCATGGACTCAAAAAGTTTACGCGATCTGCTGCCCAAGTGCCCAGGTCTGATTGATGCTTAATAATTACATTTGAATTATTTAGTATTTATTTAGTTTAGCTCTTTGAAAGCCAGTATATTTATTTTGAATTGATTCTTTAGAAATTATTAAAGTTATCACAGTGTTATAACCAGTTTTCTCGAGCAAAAGGATTTCAGAGTGAAACTGCTGGATACAAAGAGTTAATGATTCAAAATAAGCACCTTCACAATTGGTATAAAAATGAAAATATTCAATAATTTGTTACATTTATATCTTTTTTTAGCACTTTTATTCGTTGCACTAGACGTTGTGTTAAATATTGCTTAAAAAGTTATCTATAACATTTGTACTTGTTAAGTGTTCATATCTCATCACACATACACGTACACATAAAACACAATGCTTTACAGCTGTGAATGTAAAGTCGCAGTAATAATTAATAAAATAGTAAGCACTGTTTTTAGAGAAAGAAGGAACGATAGTGATGTTGCAATGCAAATTTATGAATACTTTTCTTTCTATTAATTAAAAAATGCAACACGCAATTTAACGTATATATATTATATTATAAATTCTTTTTTTAATATTAGTGTTTCTCTCTATTTATTCTTCAAAGAAGTTCACAAAATTTTCTATATAAAATATAAATTCTGTTAATGATAATTTGTTGTTAGAGAATCTTATTAATATTTCGAATAGAAAAAAATTAATGAAACCATGTATATTAAATAAATCAACGGTTCCAAAACACGCAGGTAAAACACGCTAAAAAAGATATGCACAAAAATTATAATTTTGTGCACAAAGATGCTTTATATACCTTTACTGCATAAATTTCATACATTGTGCTGTTTTAGATGCTATAAAACAAAATTATGTGAAAGACTCGGAATAATAACGCATAATATCGAATCACACGTGCAATTAAATCTCCGTATACAGTATGTTTGTTGAAGATTAACCGACCGAAATGTCGAACGATTCCTTCCTTTTCATTTATGCCTTTCTTGACGTGGTTTATGCTTGCACATCGCTTTATGTGTAATATGCGTGCGTATACTGTTCATGCGCCATTCAGCATTCGTCATCAACGGTGCTTAATAAGTGCGGTTTCTGAATAGAAAACTGCAAAGCTGAAAGCTGTAGTGTAAAATATTGCTCGCTTCGTTGCGGATCCATGTTTGACATTTGAGTTAATCTACCATACAGATCTCAATTGCACTACGATAGATATATGGATTAATAATTTGCTGTCAGTTAATCGACGTATTAAAAAACACGGATATCTATACATGGATAAAAATAGAAAGAAAATTGAAACAAACAAGAACATAAATGATTGTAAAAGTGATAATTTGTGTGGAATTTAATTGAATGTCTCTCCGAAATCACGATTTCATACATGTATCAAATATCAATCAATAATTTCTAACTATAAAATTTGATGTTATAAACACTCGTTTCAATTAAATAAATTCGGAAGAAAACTGCCAAAATTTAGTTAATGATAAATAAACTTTATTTTTTTAACTGAATTTTTATTTGTTATTATTTTTCATAAAAAGAATTGTTGCAGTAATAATTATGAATTTTTGAAAATATTGAAGAGACATTTTTTTAGAAATGCAACTGCCAAATAATTGTTAATCCTGAAAAAATTTGTTTTTTAACATACTGTGTATATTTCTACTGTTTCTTATTAAAGTTACAGCATAGAAACAAAGTATATACACGATTATGTATATTTTATTAAATTATTTGATGTAAAATGCACTAAATGCTTGTTATAAAGAGAACACATAAACTTACAATTATTTGTATGTAGAACGAAAAACAAAATAGCCAGACAAAATAGTGTTTGTTTTCTTGATACCATAAATCATTTCTCTTAATGACATCGCTTGTTCATGTTTATCGGGTATTATGAAGACATTTCTTGCGGCGTATCCGCGTAACTTTGTAGGATCATTGAATATTAGGAGGATCAATCTCAATATTAGAACCACTTATCGCGGTCAATCTTATATGTTACAGCGACTTATCTCGATCCCGGCGGATTCGGGGATTCGAGGCAATGCTTAAAAGAGGGAGGATCAACGCCACAAACACCCATCACGGGAAATCATCTTGATGTGCCACGATCTCTCGATCCGAATCCCAATCTGCTTAGTCCAGAAATTCTAATGCAAAGGAGAGGTCAGTTTTATACATTAATCGTTTAATGCAATAAAAGATTTTTTTCAATTGGGGAAAAAGTATGTTAACTGTGTTCCTTTTATATAATTAAAAGAAGCACAAAGGAAAGTTAATTGTGTCTTCTTTTTATAAAAATGTGTCAGTTTCCTGTAACCTTACGCTAAATTTAAGAATTGAATTTTAATTAACAACGTAAATGAAATTGATGAAAATTTAAAACATATTAGTTGAAAAAATCATCTAATATTATATTAAACAAAATTTTATTAGAATTATTGCTTTGTGCGTTGATCTTTGCGTACAATACACTAGTTTGATGCACTTTTAATTAATGGTATTTTTTATTAATTTTAAAAGTTACTTTAACAAGACAGCTATACGTTTCAGTGCTTACATTATACATCAATATTTGTACACAACACTAAATAGAGTATCTATTTACTAATAAATTAGCTGAAATCCTCCTTTATTTCAAGTTTATACAGTCAATTTGATCAATTTAAAATTTCATACAATATGCAAGTTTATTTGAAATACGACAAACTTTTTTGAAATGTCTCTTGTCAAATGTCTTCATGAAATATTTTAGTTTCCACGATAAAAATTTATAATTTTATTTTAACTTTTTAAATAAATATTCTTCTCGTGAAACATAATTGAATATATATTACTTGTTTTTATAATAAATATGTAAGTTATAATTTTAAATAAATAAAATTAATATTAAACCTAATAAAAGTTGCCATTTTTTATAAGCAAAATTTTTTTGTAACTAGTTAAAAAATATGTCTGGCTATTTATCTATGTTCAAATTTTAATTCAGTAAATTGATATCTATTATAGGGGAAAATGGGAATCCTTCGTACACGAGGCATATATATACTCGTACATTCAGTGATTCGAGAAGAATTGCGCAGATTCGGAACACATCTATACATATTTAATTATTATTTACAATTAGTCTTATTGCGCGGCCACATGTTAGCAAAATTTCATATTAGTCGGACTACGTAAACTGACAGAGCAGGATATTACGTGTTTTAGCGCTGTCTGAGTAAATTTTCCAAAGTATTTGACAAGAAATTTAAGATAT